TTCATGTTTATTTGTGTTTCTAATTTATACTTTAAGTTTATTTGTGTTTCTAATTTATACTTTAAGTTTATTTGTGTTTCTAATTTATACTTTAAGTTTATTTGTAAAAAGTTAAAAGAGAGTGGGTCTCTGTGGCCTTCACTGAGGTTCACTCTGGCATCCTTTAGCATTTTTCGTTTTTAATTTCATAATTGTAGGTCATTAGCATGCATATCGAGTTTGCCCTTACATGGTGGGAGTTCAAACACCCAAAGACCCACTGTTTGCACAAAACTGTTCTCGCTGGTTTGGAATAGGCTGCCATGCTTTTTTAATGTTATTGCAGCATGTATGTTTATTACAGAATTCCGATAAAATTTGCTTATGTTCTGCTATTATGTTTGATCTAATCTTAATCACAGTGAGCTCTTCATTAGCTCAATATGCGGTTTGCCGTCAAGTGTGCACTGTTTATTACTTTGTAATATGCCACTGTGAGTACTGACATTTAGAGTTGTTTAAAGGCCGAGAACTGGAAACAGCCTTTCCCCCATATTCTGTGTATTGGTGATGGGAGTAATAACATTTTGGGGGAGCTTTTTAAATCTCACAGAAGAGGAAAGTGGCCTGCTCTGGCAGCTGTGTGCAGGATAGAGTGTGTTTCATTTGTTCCGGTGCCAAGAATGTGTGCCGTACTATGGTAGTTCCCTCAGGATTTGTATGTGCTCTGGGCTCATGAAGATATTGCACCATGAGCTGCAGCAGTTGTGCTCTTTCTCGATGACCTAAAAAGGGATTCTTTCTGAGGAATGAAAGGCTCCCATCGTTGACTGTGGATGTGGAAAACCTTTCTTGCTTAGAACATTTGTATCTGTAATACATTTGAAAATCAGAGTTCATGTTACCTGTTTTAATCACATGACTACATGTCCCAGTACACAAAAGGGCGCTGGCTGGCATTCTTCTTAATATATTTAGTAAAGATCATAAGGAATCCCTTAAGAGTTTAAATGTCCATGGAACAGGCATACAGGCTCTAGTCAAGAATGATTGAGAGTGAAGGAAAGCTGTGTGGCACCTGGCATTCCTCTCTGTTCATGGAGCTTCTTTGAGACTTGAAGACTGATTTTACCATCTAGACCTCTCTAGCTAATACCTATTCTTCAACCACCTTGGTTACTCTGACATAGGAATTTACTTCTTTTCCTTGAATGGAAAACACTTTCAAAAATAATAACAAGCATTATCATAAACTAATATATGTGAGAGTACTTAGTTGAAACAGAAAGGAGTTTTAGTAGACAGTATTATACTATCTTTAAAAATCAAGGAGAACTTAAAATATTTACAAACTGCAGTGCAATCTACTGTTTGTGAATGTCAATGTATTATCAGGAAACGTCTCTGTACAATCACAGAGTTGTATTTCCTCACAAACTTCTTTACTAAGAGTGAAATTTTTTTTGTACCTCTCAGTTTCAGTTAGGGACATATTTTGTACAATATTTATGTGATTGTGCCTATGCATGATGAATGAATGAATTTCAGTCACACATTGCCTAAGTCATAACTTGGTGATGCTTGGGAAAGAATCAACCGTTAAAACTTCATGAAGTTCTAATGTTTGTGTTCCAAAACACATCACCTTATTAGGATGTACGGAGCTATGTATGTGTGCTCCCTGGAGTGGGGATTTCCTGGTTACGAGATCTCCATTTTTAGCATTTGGCATCCTCATGATACTTTTATAAATATGACAGTAACAGGAGAGCAACAATACGATTTTACCGATGGAATAACAGATTTCCCTGCATTCTCTGAAAGAGTGCAAATATCGGGTCCTTGTGACTTCAACTGACTCTTCCAAATTGTATGAATGTAGCAATGTATTAGATAAGCCCAGTTTCAGAATGATAAAGAAAAAATGTTAGACCAAATAAAGCGACTAATTAACAGTGGTACAATTGCTAGCCCGTGGGTTTAAAATGGACTGAAATTCCACTCTTTGTGTAGGTATTTGTCATATATTTAAGAAAAAGCTAAAAAAAATGGAAATGGTATGACAATAACATAAGTCTTCAAAGTGCATGCAGTCTTTTGCGATACCTCATTCAGCCAAGTATTTGTGCTCTTCCTCATTCAGTGTAAGGCAGCTTTCAATTTGCTTAGAAGGCAACATTGGAAGGTTAGAGTTCATTAGAAACATAGAATTTTAAAATGTGAGTTCAACTGAATAAATTTGAA